CTGAAGGGGTTGATTCTGTATTCATAGGTTTGTAGAAGTTAGGATGAAGGTCTTTTTCTTAACTCTGTTCATGTTATAACATTTTTGCTGTGAAGAAGAGGCATGTGATCTCCGCTGAGTCAAATTCAGTTTTGAGAACTGCAAAAGTAAACCAACATCTGTGATAGTATCTTGTAGGCAGAGAAACTGCCCAATAATCTTACAAAAACCTCTGGAAGAGCAGGACATTGTGAATGGATTCATGGAATTTATTTACCAAAACAATTCAACATATACAGCCTTATTCTACATAATTAAAAAACTAATCTTTATTTCATGATGGAATAACCTTTGGATGGTAATATATTTTCCTCAAAAAGCATTTTATTCAAAAAAATCCGATTTAAATTAAAAAAATCCGATTTTTTCGATTTTTTTAAAAAATCATTGATTTTTATCCACCCTGATTTATACTGATATTTAGTGATTGTGGATTATCTGGCTATGTGGGGGCATTATACCCGGATCAGACTATTCAGTAAATTGAGGTTTGTTGCACATTGACAGTCTTATTTTGATCCGGGTATAATTAGTCCTGAGTGTCCGGACATTATATTGTTTCATGGTCAAGACTTTTTCATTTAGGGAAGGTGTTGGAGTGTTCTGTACTTCTTTTTAAATATGTCATGCAATAAAATGTATCTTTTTACTTATAGACTGGTTTCATTATATTTATGTGGCTATTTGTATGCCGCAGGGTCCCGTGTATACCGGCTGCTTTTTTTAGGGTGTCTGTGCCCTGACTTTAATTTGCCAAGAAGATTTTGTGCTTTTTGGACACTGCCACACATTTCAGATTAGCTGAGGATACATTTTTTTTAGTTTGTCCTTTTGCACACTGAGCTCTGCTTATCACTGCTGCGACTTGTCATGTGACTTGCGACACAACGTCAAAAAACATTTATGACAGTTGCACCCATTCCAATCAATACAGCTGAAGTCGCAGTGATTTAAAAAAAGGCTCCTGCACTACTTTGATGCGACTTTAACCATTTCAATACCGGGCAATTTAACCCCTTCCTGCCCAGGCCATTTTTCAGGTTTCAGCGCTCTCACACTTTTAATGACAATTGCGCGGTCATACAACATTGTACCCAAACTAAAATTTTATAATTTTGTTCACACAACTAGAGCTTTCTTTTGGTGGTATTTAATCACCGCTGGGGTTTTTATTTTTTGCTAAATTAATAAAAAAATTCCAAACATTTTGAAAAAAAAACACGTTTTTCCTTGTTTCTGTTATAAAAGTTTACAAATAAATAATTGTTCTTCATAAATTTAGGCCGAGATGTATTCTGCTACATGTCTTTGGTGAAAATAACCCAAATTAGGATGTATTATTTAGTTTGTAGGAAAGTTATAGAGTTCACAAACTATGGTATAGATCTGAATATTGATCAATCCTGAAGTACTGACGGCCAATCTAATTTCTTGAGGTCCAAGAATGTCAGAACAGTACAGATATCCCCCAAATGTCAGAACAGTACAGATATCCCCCAAATGACCCCTTTTTGTAAAGTAGACAGTCCGACGTACTTCATAAGAGGCATGGCGAGTTTTTTGAAGATGTATTTTTTTTTGTCATAATTTTTCGGAAAATTAAAAATTAAAAAAATTATTTTCACTATTTTTTTTTTTACATACTGTCACCAGTGCAGTACAGCGTCATCATATAACTGGCATGGCGGTGATCAGGGACACTGACTGGAGACAGTATGAAAAAAAATTATATATATATATATTTTTTTTTTAAAGATTTTTTTTTCATATTTTACTATGATCAAAGTAGTACAATGTTACCATAGTAACATTGTACTACTTTGGGGAAGTGATCAGTATTTTTTTTTTTTTACACAATTTGCTTATAGCAAAGAATTGCTTTGCTATAAGCAAGCATTTACCTGAATGACATCGATTCATTCAGGGTTTTTTTTTTTTTTTTTTTTGTGCTTAGCTGTGATTTGGCCACAGCTAATCACATGACATGTGCATGTGATCGCTGTGACCATTCACAGCTAGACACTAGTATACAATGGATGGCATGAATGAAGCCATCCATTGTATACAACTGTCATGTGACCTGCTGGTCACATGGTACCGGCAACAGGGGCCGGTACTCAGATCTGTCATCGGCCGTGTCCAAGGTACACAGCCGCTGATAGATCGCGCCGCTGCGCGACTCTGCAACCGCGCGGACTTCGCATGTGCGGGAGGATGCCAAATGGCGTACACCTCGGAAAGCTAATGCATTTTTGTGGCCGCCAAACGGCTATAGGCTGGGCAGCTAATGGCTAATTCAACTTAGAATCCAATGGACTCTAATGCCACATGATGCCAGCACTGCAAAAGTTGCACTGGAAATCACACAACAATGGGGTTGCAGCAGTGTGAACTGAGCCTGATTGTTTATTAGCAGTGTATGCAATTAGGATTAGCCTAAGTATTATTATTTGGAACTAAAGTATCTTTTTATGTAAAGACAACATTTCAGAATAACCCATTCCTGCAGCATCACAGAGGTGGGCTATTCCCCATGCTGCTGTATCAATGCGGCATATCTTTCTGCTGGAATCACACTCTATGGTGTGCCTCCAGCACCATGACCAAGTTAGCTCAGATGCAGCCAGGCAGCCTAGCTAATGCAGCCAGGAAAACGCTGAACTGGAATGTAGAGGAAGCATTAGGGGGTCTAATGTCTCCATAAAGAGGACCTGTCACCCAAAATGTATTATTACATATGGGGTTTATATGACAGCATATGTTTAAAAGTACATACAGTTGTGTTCAAAATAATAGCAGTCAGACATCACTAACCGGATCAATCACTGTTTTTGGTAGAAATGATTTTTCTACATGGCAAATAATTTCCTAGCAGGTGTAGTAGAGTAATAGAAATCCAACAGACCCGACAGTCATGACATGCATGCTGCTGATTCTATGTCATTGAATCACTCATTGAAAGGGGCGTGTTCAATTTAATAGCAGTGTGGAGTTCTATTAGTGAGGTCATTCATTCTTTGAAAAACAGGTGGCAATTATTGCCCTTATTTAAGGAAGGAAGGCAGCAAATGTTGTACATGCTGGTTACAGTGCATTTCTCTCTGAAATTCTGAGGAAAATGGGTCGTTCCAGACATTGTTCAGAAGAACAGCGTACCTTGATTAAAAAGTTGATTGGAGAGAGGAAAACATATAAAGAAGTGCAGAAAATGATCGGCTGCTCAGCTAAAATGATCGCAAATGCTGTAAAATGGCAACCAAAACCTGAAAGACGTGGAAGAAAGCGAAAAACTACCATTGGAATGGATAGAAGAATAGCCAAAATGGCATGGACTCAGCCAACAATCAGCTCCAGGAAGATGAAAGAAGGTGTGACGTTCCCTGTGAGGACTGTTACAATTAGAAGACGCCGATGTGAAGCCAAGCTATCTGCAAGAAGTCCCCGCAAAGTCCCACTGTTGGAAAAAAGACGTGTGCTGAAGAGGTTACAATCTGCCAAAGAGCACATTGACTGGCCTAAAGAGAAATGGGGCAACATTTTGTGGACTGATGACAGTAAGATTGTTTTTTTTTGGGTCTAGTGGGCGGAGACAGTTTGTCAGACGACCCCCAAACACTGAATTCAAGCCACAGTACACTGTGAAGACAGTGAAGCATGGTGGTGCAAGCATCATGATATGGGGATGTTTCTCATACTACGGTATTGGGCCTATTTATCACATACCAGGGATCATGGATCAGTTTGAATACATCAGAATACTTGAAGAGGTCATGCTGCCTTATGCTGAAGAGGAAATGCCCTTGAAATGGGTGTTCCAACAAGACAACGACCCCAAACACACCAGTAAACGTGCAACATCTTGGTTCCAGACCAACAAGATGGACGTTATGGAGTGGCCAGCCCAATCCCCCGATCTTAATCCAATAGAAAACTTGTGGGGTGACATCAAAAATGCCGTTTCTGAGGCAAAACCAAGAAATAGAGAAGAACTGTGGAATGTGGTCCAATCATCCTGGGCTGGAATACCTGATCACAGGGGCCAGAAGTTGGGTGACTCCATGCAACACAGATGTACAGCAGTTCTCAGAAACAGTGCGACTACAACCAAATATTCATGAAGTCATTCAAAGGAAAGCAAAATCTTCAAACATTTCTCAGTTTATATAGTGAATGTTTGAGTTTGTAAAGAAGAATACAAACACTGCGATTTTTTTGAAACCGTCTAATATTCACTTTTCTTCCATTTTTTTAGAGGAACAACACAAATTTGATGTATTTTTCTTCATGTTTTGATTTGGAATAGAATGTGTCGTGTTCCCAATGCATTTGTGTGGATGGAAATAAAAGCTATTAGAAGGATTTTCAGCTTTATTCACTTTTTTCAACACACTGCTATTATTTTGAACACAACTGTACATTCCTGGAGTTCTTCATTAACTCTTTTACATGTTCCCCTTAAAAAAACAGAATTGTGTTTTGCTCACATGGGGGGGGGGTGTAATGTGTATACTATATCGAATGGCAAGAGTTCAGATTTAATATCACCCTTCAAAAACTCCCCAAAATCCTCGGAATAAACTGATTCCAACTAGAAGAAGACAAGCATTGTGTCTACCTTACCAACACACCCCCTTTGTAACCTAGTGGTCCAGGATTTTACGAAAATTCTTTGCTGAGCTGTCAGAATCCACAACCAGCTCTCATTCAGGACTGATAGGGAGCAATAACACAGCTTGCGGTTGTACTGAACATGTTTCCCTACTGAGGAATATTTCCTCATGTTGGATAGTGGTTTGGTTGCAGAAATGCTGTCAGTAGAATACAAAAGGGCATAGATGTCTGAAATCCTGAGCTGCTTAGTGTGCTCACCTACCCAAACCTGTGATGGCTTTTTTAAAAGAGGAGAAAGTGCGTTATTAAGAAGCTGCACATGCGGGGATGGCTCCTAACACTACACCGACCTTTCTCCTGTAAGAAGATCATCCTATCCAGGAGTATGAGGGTCTCCACCAGAGGGGCCAGCAGCAGAGCCAGGCTGAAGAACACCACTACGTTCTGCTGTTGAGACAACATGTGCTCCACCGAGGCCTTATCCAAGGGGGTATTGGGGTCCAGCCCGACACGTTCCAGGCCTTGCATAGCGTACCTAAAAGAGAAATGAACATGATATGATGGGGTATGATGTATGATGGGTGTATGATGCGACAAGAAATGATTCAAGAAAGCATGATGGAGAGTGAAAGAGAGAGAGAGATGGGGAGAGAGAATGAGATAGAAAGAATGATTCTGAAAGAGAAAAAGAGAAGAAAAAAAAGAGGAGAGGAGAGGAGAGAAAGAGAGGGATAGAGAGAAAGAGGAGACAAAGAAAAAAATTAGTTTGACAAAGGGAGAAGAGAGAAGAGGAGGGGAGAGGAGGGGGAGAGAAAACAAGTCTGAAAAAAAAGAGAAGAACAGAAGGAGGAAGGAAGAAGGAAAAAACAGAGATAGAAATTGGTTGAGAGACAGAGGAGAGAGAGGGATAGAAAGAGAAAGGAAAGAGGAATATTAAGGAGATTACAGAATATGTGTGTCTCATCTTTCTAAAAAAGAAGAAAGAATTATTTCAATTTCTTGCTTTCCTTTCCCCCACCTCCCCTCAGTGCTGGAACAGACAATACTCTACTAGCTAGATTTTGATCTCGCAGATGCTTAACAGCCAGCCTCTGGAACAGCATCTTTAGTTCAGTTCAGCAAGGACCAAGATTTGATCTACATACACACTATATTGCCAAAAGTATTGGTGGGCCGGCCTTTCCACGCACATGTACTTTAATGGCCCCCCAGTCTTAGTCCGTAGGGTTCAATATTGAGTTGGCCCCGCCCTTTGCAGCTATAACAGCTTCAACTCTTCTGGGAAGGCCGTCCACAAGGTTTAGGAGGGTGTCTATGGGAAGGTTGGACCATTCTTCCAGAAGCACATTTGTCAGGTCAGGCACTGATGTCGGGGGAGGAGGCCTGGCTCGCAGTCTCCGCTCTAATTCATCCCAAAGGTGTTCTATGGGGTTGAGGTCAGGACTCTGTGCAGGACAGTCAAGTTCCTCCACCCCAAACTGGCTCCTCCATGTCTTTATGGACCTTGCTTTGTGCACTGGTGCGCAGTCATGTTGGAACAGGATGGGGCCATCCCCAAACTCTTCCCACAAAGTTGGGAGCATGAAATTGGCCAAAATGTCTTGGTATGCTGGCACCTTAAGAGTTCCCTTCACTGGAACTAGGGGGCCAAGCCCAACCCCTGAAAAACAACCCCACACCATAATCCCCCTGCACCAAACTATACACTTGGCACAATGCAGTCAGGCAAGTACCGTTCTCCTGGCAACTGCCAAACCAACTGGATTGCCAGACAGAGAAGCGTGATTCGTCACTCCAGAGAACATGCCTCCACTGCTCTAGAGTCCAGTGGCGACGTGCTTTACACCACAGCATCCGACGCTTTGCATTACACTTGGGGATGTAAGGCTTGGATGCAGCTGCTCGGCCATGGAAACCCATTCCATGAAACTCTCTACGCACTGTTGTTGGGCTCATCTGAAGGCCACACCAAGTTTGGAGGTCTTTAGCTATTGACTCTGCAGACAGTTGGCGACTTCTGCGCACTGTGCGCTTCAGCATGCGCTGACCCCGCCCTGTCATGTGACGTGGCCTACCACTTGGTGGCTGAGTGGCTGTTGTTCCCAGTTGCTTCCACTTTGTTATAATCCCACTAACAGTTGAGCGTGGAATATTTAGTAGCCAGGAAATGTCACGGATGGACTTATTGCACAGGTGACCACCTATCACGGGACCACGCTTGGAGTCACTGAGCTCCTGAGAGCGACCCATTCTTTCACCAATGTTTGTAGAAGCAGTCTGCATGCCTAGGGGCTTGATTGTATACACCTGTGACCATGGAGGGGATTGGAACACCTGAACCCAATGATCTGGAGGGCGGGACCAATACTTTTAGCAATATAGTGTATCTATGGGCAGGCTGGTTGTACTGAAGTCAATCTATTGATCCTCTTCAGTACAACTAGCCTGTTTTTTTTTTTCTTTCAATCATTGCCGATGGCTATAGCTGCCGGCAGTGATCACTGGGTTCTGCTTGCTGGGAAGGCTCCCTTCCGCCAGAACACAACAGCACTGCGGGAGGGATTCCCCCATCAACACTGACTGTGATATGGGGCATTCTCTTTCTTGCAATCTGTGGTGGGAGGAAAGTTGTATGATCTATGGACTACTTAACATTAGAGCTGTTTTCAGGATTTTATGTCTTAAACACTTATCCTAGAAATTATGCAGCAATACTCTGATGTACATCCCAGGCTGGCTGTTTTTCTTACCATTGCCACTCAATCCTGAGAAGAACAATAATTGCTTGTTGCCCCTATGGAAGCTGTAATAGTAAAAAATAATTTTTTTTAGATTGTAAGCTCCAAGGATCAGGCCCTCCTATCCCTCTTGTATTGAACTGTATTGTTGCTGTATTGTCTCCTGTTACAGTGGGAATCGAAAGTTTGGGCACCCCAGCTAAAAATTTGTATTAATGTGCATAAAGAAGCCAAGGAAAGATGGAAAAATCTCCAAATGGCATCAAATTACAGATTAGACATTCTTATAATATGTCAACAAAAGTTAGATTTTATTTCCATCATTTACACTTTCAAAATAACAGAAAACAAAAAAATGGCGTCTGCAAAAGTTTGGGCACCCTGCAGAATTTATAGCATGCACTGCCCCCTTTGCCAAGCTGAGACCTGCCAGTGTCATGGATTGTTCTCAATCATCGTCTGGGAAGACCAGGTGATGTCAATCTCAAAGGTTTTAAATGCCCCGACTCATCTGACCTTGCCCCAACAATCAGCACCATGGGTTCTTCTAAGCAGTTGTCTAGAAAACTGAAACTGAAAATAGTTGACGCTCACACAGCTGGAGAAGGCTGTAAGAAGATAGCAAAGCGTTTTCAGATGTCAATATCCTCTGTTCAGAATGTAATTAAGAAATGGCAGTCATCAGGAACAGTGGAAGTTAAAGCAAGATCTGGAAGACCAAGAAAAATATCAGACAGAACAGCTCGCAGGATTGTGAGAAAAACAATTCAAAACCCACGTTTGACTGCACGATCCCTCCAGAAAGATCTGGCAGACACTGGAGTTGTGGTACACTATTCCACTATAAAGAGATACTTGTACAAATATGGTCTTCATGGAAGAGTCATCAGAAGAAAACCTCTTCTACGTCCTCACCACAAAAATCATTGTTTGAACTTTGCAAATGAACATATAGACAAGCCTGATGCATTTTGGAAACAAGTTCTGTGGACCGATGAGGTTAAAATTGAACTTTTTGGCCAGAATGAGCAAAGGTATGTTTGGAGAAGAAGGGGCACAGAATTTAAGGAAAAGAACCTCTGTCCAACTGTTAAGCATGGGGTTGGATCAATCATGCTTTGGGGTTGTGTTGCAGCCAGTGGCACAGGGAACATCTCACGAGTAGAAGGAAAAATGGATTCAATAAAATTTCAGCAAATTTTGGATGGTAACTTGATGCCATCTGTGAAAAAGCTGAAGTTAAAGAGAGGATGGCTTCTACAAATGGATAATGATCCTAAACACACCTCGAAATCCACGGGGGATTACATCAAGAGGCATAAACTGAAGGTTTTGCCATGGCCTTCACAATCTCCTGACCTCAACATAATTGAAAATCTATGGATAGACCTTAAAAGAGCAGTGCGTGACAGACAGCCCAGAAATCTCAAAGAACTGGAAGACTTTTGTAAGGAAGAATGGGCAAAGATATCTCAAACAAGAATTGAAAGACTCTTGGCTGGCTACAAAAAGCGTTTACAAGCTGTGATACTTAGCAAAGGGGGCAGTGCATGCTATAAATTCTGCAGGGTGCCCAAACTTTTGCAGACGCCATTTTTTTTGTTTTCTGTTATTTTGAAAGTGTAAATGATGGAAATAAAATCTAACTTTTGTTGACATATTATAAGAATGTCTAATCTGTAATTTGATGCCTTTTGGAGATTTTTCCATCTTTCCTTGGCTTCTTTATGCACATTAATACAACTTTTTAGCTGGGGTACCCAAACTTTCAATCCGCACTGTATATTGTAAAGCGCTGAGCAAACTGTTGGCGCCATAAATCCTGTATAATAATAATAATATATAAATCCTGTATAATAATATAATAATATATAAATCCTGTATAATAATAATAATAATAAAGACATCCCTACCAAATATCTTTACATAGGCTTGTAATTTGCACAGCACCATCTAGTTCCTGAAGGCAGCATGAACTGCAGTGGGATGTTCCTAAAGGGACACAATGGGGTTGAACCACTCTCTACAATCACACCAGTGCCACTTTGAAATCACACTATTTCAGATCAGTGCGATTTGAACCTCTGATTTCATTGTGGCTTGCGACTTCATTCAAAAAAAGTCTATGCAAGTTGCAACAAAGTCGGAAAAAAAAGTAGTGCAGGAATCTTTTTCCTTTTCATGAGTTGCGGCAATTTGAATGTTTCTATTGCAGGCAATGGGATGTGACTTGTCATGCGATTCAGAACATGACAATCGCACCACTGCGAACAAGGGCTTAACCTCAACAAGTCTACAGCGGTGGTACCTGCCTAAATTTCCTGGCTGTAAGTAAACATAGTAGTGTAAAAAGCACATCGGCTAACTGAATCCTCATTTTCACCACCTTCAGTGACTCCTAAGATTTCCCCAGCACTCGCGGTTGTGGATTTGTACAAATCAGGGGTGGGCAACTGTGGCCCTCCAGCTGTTGGTGAACTACAAGTCCCATCATGCCTCTGCCTTTGGGAGTCATGCTTGTAACTGTCAGTTTTGCAATGCCTCATGGGACTTGTAGTTCTACAACAGCTGGTTGCCCACCCCTGGTATAAATGATCCTGTCAAGTCTTTATCTTCACACTTACTCAGTAAAGGGAAGTCTGTGTGCCTTTTTGATGGTCTGCACCCCACGGCGTCTCATGGTAGGATCCACTCTTCGGATCACAGTCTCCAACACAGCCCGGTAACAATGAGTTCTCAAGATGTCGCTCTCACCTTTAAGGCGGTCTATGTAATCCTCTATAGCGTGACACGCCACTTCTCTGGATTTATAGGACAGTTTGTGCCCAGGGAGGAGGGACAACCAGGAGCTCATCGGGTAGCCAAACTCCTGAATGTCCGAGTCAGACGACAGAACACCAGGCGGCTGAGGCATCTCCAACGTGGTCAGTTTCATGTAGCAGCAAGCTACAGACGTGATACCAACAACACTGGGGCACCTGGCGAAATGACGTAACATGGCTATGCTAAGGTCACCGCATGCGTGAAGTCCTGTTAATACAAATTTGGAGTCTCCTCGGGATTTAGTGACACTGCGACATGTGGAAGGTTCAGCCGCATTATTCTCACGAGCGATCTTTGAGTCTATTACTTCCTCTGAGCTCACGTCTGTAGAAGGAGTTGTGTGCGATATACTTGCGTTCGGGAAAGCCCTCCTTGCGTCGTCGGCCATTTGGTTTCTTCCCACGCTTTGTAGCGGGGTCTCCTCTGCATTGCCAGCTAACTGCCTCACAAAATCTTCCCAAGGTGCCTGAGGATCCACACAGGCCAAGATGTGCCGAGGAGGTTTCGGGAAAGGGATACTTCTCACCTCAAAACCAGCATTCTAAAAATAAAATAATAGAACGTAAAAACTAATCAGCAATGATTTTCATAAAGATCATAAGAAAAAAAAAAAGGAAATTATTATTATTATTATACAGTATTTATAAAGCGCCAATAGTTCGCTCAGCGCTGTACATTACAAAGGGGGACAGAACATATGACAGAACAATACCAATACAATGCAAAACATGAGGGGATTGAGGGCCCTGCTCCTTGGAGCTTACAATCTAGGAGGGAGGGGATGGTGGCACAGGAGGAGATAGCTGTGGGGGATGGAGTGGTAGGAAGAGTGGAGGAGGTCGGCAGGTTAGCAGGGGGTGGGGTAGGCTTCCCTGAAGAGATGGGTTTTCAGGGTGCGCCTAAAGGAGAAGAGAGTAGGTGATAATCTGATGGATTGGGGTAGGGAGTTCCAGAGGATGGGTGACACCCTGGAGAAGTCCTGGAGGCGGGCATGGGAGGAGGAGACCAGGGAACTAGAGAGAAGGAGGTCTTGTGAGGAGCGGAGTGTGCGTGTTGGGCGGTACTTGGATATTAGGTCAGTGATGTAGTTCGGGGCAGTATGGTGGACGGCTTTGTACGTCAGTGTTAGGATTTTGAATTTGATCCGTTGCGCAATCGGAAGCCAGTGGAGGGATTGACAGAGGGGGGTGGCGGAGATGGAGCGGTTAGAAAGGTAAATGAGTCTGGCACCCGTATTCAGGATGGACTGAAGCGGGGATAGCCAGCGGCGAAGCAGGCCAGTGAGGAGGGAGTTGCAGTAGTTGAGTCGTGATATGATGAGGGAGTGGATGAGCTGTTTAGTGGTTTCTGGGGTTAGGAACATGCGGATTTTGGCGATGTTGCGGAGGTGGAGTCTGCATGAGTTTGTTAAAGATTGGACTTGGGGCTGGAAGGATAGATTGGAGTCCAGAATGACACCAAGTACTCTGGCCTGCGGGGCGGGTTTGATGGTGGTGTTGTTGGACATGATAGAGAAGTCAATGGGGGGTGGTGTCCGGGCTGGGGGGAAGACTAGAAATGAACATTTTATAGAATGTGAAGAGTTTCTGGTAAGTATATTTAAAAAAACAACTGTTTTTTTTTTTTTAACTATATAGTGGGAGGGGCGCCCTATAGTGGGAGGCCCTCCCCACTGAAGTCAACTACAAGCATTTCAAGGACTTTACCAAATTAAAATTCAGAATCCCACCAGCTTCTGTTTTGGAGGTATTACACATACAGTTTTTCAGACTTGGACAGTCTATAAAGATGACGAGGACAGTGAAAAGCTTGTCAGTCAGTGGAAAAAAAAAAAACTTCCATTAGTCTATTTCCCTCGCTGATGACTCCCCAGCCGTAGGGCTTGTTCACATGTGCTTCCCATTGCCCAACGGATAAAATTCAAAACATTAACAATCACATACAGTGAGGAACAGAAGTATTTGAATCCCCCTCCCACTTAGAAATCATGGAGGGATCTGACATTCACATTGTAGGACATTCCCACTCTGAGAGACAGGATTTTAAAAAAATTCAGGAAATCACATTGTATGATTTGTAAAGAATGTATTTGTCTTGCACTGCTGAACAGAAGTATTTGAACACCTGAGAAAATCCGTGTTAATATTTGGTACAGAAGCCTTTGTTTGCAATTACAGAGGTCAGACGTTTCCTGTAGTTCCTGACCAGGTTTGCACTGCAACAGGGATTTTGGCCGACTCCTCCACACCGATCTCCTTTAGATCTGTCAGGTTTCAGGGCTGTCGCTGAGCAACACGGAGTTTCAGTGCCCTCCAAAGATGTTCTATTGGATTTAGGTCTGGAGACTGGCTAGGCCACTCCAGAACCTTGATATGCTTCTTACGGAGCCACTCCTTGGTTATCCTGGCTGTGTGCTTCGGGTCGTTGTCATGTTGGAAGACCCAGCCACGACCCATCTTCAGTGCTCTGACTGAGGGAAGGAGGTTGTTGCTCAAAATCTCACAAAAAATGGCCCCATTCATCCTCTCCTTAATACAGTGCAGTTGTCCTCTCCCCTTCACAGAAAAGCACCCCCAAAGCATGATGTTACCACCCCCATGCTTCACAGTAGGGATGGTGTTCTTGGGATGCAACTCATCCTTCTTTTTCCTCCAAACACGACGAGTGAAGTTTAGATCAAAAAGTTCTACTTTGGTCTCATCTGACCACATGACTTTCTCCCATGCCTCCTCTGGATCATCCAGATGGTCATTGGCAAACTTCAGACGGGCCTGGACATGTGATGACTTGAGCAGGGGAACCTTCCGTGCAATGCATGATTTGAAACCATGACGGCGTAGTGTTCTACCAACACTGACCTTTGAAACTGTGGTCCCAGCTCTCTTCATGTCATTGAGCAGCTCCTCCCTTGTAGTTCTGGGCTGATTCCTCACCTTTCTTCTCATCAGTGATACCCCACGAGGTGAGATCTTGCATGGAGCCCCAGTCCGAGGCAGACTGACAGTCATCTTTAGCCTCTTCCATTTTCTAACAATTGCTACAACAGTTGATCTATTTTCACCAAGCTGCTTGGCAATTGCCCCGTAGCCCTTTCCAGCCTTGTGGAGGTCCACAATTTTGTCTCTGGTGTCTTTTGACAGCTCTTTGGTCTTGCCCATGGTAGTAGTTGACATCTGACTGACTGTGGGGTGGACAGGTGTCTTTAAAGAGCTCAGACAGGTGCTACTAAGTTAGATTAATGAGTGGAGTAGAGGTGGACCTTTTAAAGGCACAGTAACAGGTCTTTGAGAGCCAGAATTCTTGCTGTTTCTCAGGTGTTCAAATACTTATGTTCAGCAGTGCGAGACAAATACATTCTTTAACAATCATACAATGTGATTTCCTGAATTTTTTTTTAAATTATGTCTCTCAGAGTGGGAATGCACCTACAATGTGAATTTCAGACCCCTCCATGATTTCTAAGAACTTGCAAAATCACAGGGTGTTCAAATACTTCTATTACTCACTGTATAAAGCCATTTATAACTCCGCCCCAAATTACATCACCAATCTTGTCTCCAAATATCACCCACACCATCCTCTCCACTCCTCACAAGACCTCCTGCTCTCTAGCTCCCTTGTCTCCTCCTCAAATGCTCGTCTCCAGGACTTTTCCAGAGCTTCCCCCATCCTCTGGAACTCTCTATCTGAATTTATCAGACTATCGCCTACTCTGCTCACTTTTAGGCGATCTCTGAAAACCTCTCTCTTCAGGTAAGCCTATCCTGCCCTCAGCTAATAATGGAATCTTCTATTCCTCCTACCACTCCATCCCCCACAGTTACTACCTTTTGTACCACTAGCTCCTCCCTTTTAGATTGTAAGCTCCCAGGATCAGGGCCCTTCTACCCCTCTTGTATTGAACTGTATTATTGCTGTATTGTCTCCCTTTATATTGTAAAGCGCTGAGCAAACTGTTGGCCCTATATAAATCCTGTATAATAATAATAACTAGAAAAGCTATAATTTCTGCGGAAATTGTGTGAAGTGTTCTTGCCTGCTCACACACCTGGGTTCCTATGGCAACTCACTCTACAGCAAGGGCAGAGAAGAGCGGTTAAAAACAAACTGCTCCAACTTGCTCACGTCACTGGCGGTTGCCATCTTTAAACGGTTATAGTTTAAAAATTATAAATCCTACACCAAAGAGCTTTATATTGTGAGAATCACAAGACCCAGACCTACATTTTGATGCATAGTATGTCTCTGAAATATTAAAAATGAAGGCACTGTCTCAGTTTAGAATTTGCCCTTCAAATTTGAGGTGGCTAGAGTTGAGTTTCAATGAATTTCAATGGGCGGCGTGAGTTGCAAACAAATGGTCATATTGTGAAAACTATCAGGACTATGGCTTAGCCGTGGACATTTTTAGTGGCAGCAGGGATAGCTGAACGTTTTGATATAAGATTTGTGTAGGTGGGCTTGAAAATGAGGGAGTGATGGCAGTTTAGAAATCATGTCCTGATTTTTCAGCTCACACTCTAGCTTTTGTCAGCTCCCACTCTAGTTTTGAACATTCCGCCATTCATTCCTATGGGACCAATTTCACCACAAAAACGGCGATATTTCGTGAACCATCCGGCGAAACGTTCCAGAAAGTAATAGCGCACCAATCGGGAACAATCCACACGTTTCGGTATATTACTGTCTATGTAGTGTAAAAACTGTGGGAGGAGTTAGGGTGGTAAATTTGGCTATAATAAGAATATATATGTGAGATAACAGGAAGTGGTCTTGCCATGCAACAACACTTAATAATGTGGTGGTGGTGGGGGGTAAAACAAAACACAAAATCTGTGGTTTAGCCTTGCTTTTACCACCCCCCACCTTAACCTGCAGAGACAGCGGCTAGGAGTGTACATGTTCCATGGTCGCATTGCTTTGCAGCAGGGATTAAACCCCCTGTCCTTTTGGGGGGGCATAGGACAAAGCATGGGTTGTGGTGTGCTAGTGAAGGTTTTAAGGCCTCCTCACCGCCTTTCACATGTTCTCTAAAGAGCAATCTAGGACCGCTCTTCCAAGAGCCTTCAAACATGCAAGAAGAGCATGCTTTCATCCACGACTAGTGTTAGTTGCTCTCTTATATAGAACATAGTAAAGCTCCTCCTCAAAAAACTACACTCCCTCGGCCTCAGAGATTCTGCTCTCTCCTGGCTCTCATCCTACCTGTCACAACGCTCCTTCAGCGTTACCTATAATGCTACCACCTCCCCCTCACTCCCCCTCTCTGTTGGGGTCCCTCAGGGCTCTGTCCTCGGGCCCCTTCTCTTCTCCATCTACACCTCCTCCCTTGGCCAACTCATACACTCTCACGGCTTCAACTACCACCTCTATGCCGACGACACACAAATCTATCTCTCAACCCCCCACCTCACCCCCTCGGTCTCCGCCCGAATCACACACCTACTGAGCGACATATCAGACTGGATGTCGCTCCACTTCCTTAAACTGAACCTCTCCAAATCCGAGTTTCTTGTCTTCCCCCCCAGCCCAGACACCACCCCCCCCCCATTGACTTCTCCATCACTTCCAACAACGCCACCATCAAACCCGCCCCGCAGGCCAGAGTACTTGGTGTCATTCTGGACTCCAACCTATCCTTCCAGCCCCAAGTCCAATCTTTAACAAACTCGTGCAGACTCCACCTCCGCAACATCGCCAAAATCCGCACGTTCCTAACCCCAGAAACCACTAAACAGCTCATCCACTCCCTCATCATATCACGACTCGACTACTGCAACTCCCTCCTCACTGGCCTGCCTCGCCGCTGGCTATCCCCGCTTCAGTCCATCCTGAATACGGCTGCCAGACTCATTCACCTTTCCAACCGCTCCATCTCCGCCACCCCCCTCTGCCAATCCCTCCACTGGCTTCCGATTGCGCAACGGATCAAATTCAAAATCCTAACACTGATGTACAAAGCTGTAGACCACACTGCCCCGAACTACATCACTGACCTAATATCCAAGTACAGCCCAACACGCACACTCCGCTCCTCACAAGACCTCCTTCTCTCTAGTTCCCTGGTCTCCTCCTCCCATGCCCGCCTACAGGACTTCTCCAGGGTGTCACCCATCCTCTGGAACTCCCTGCCCCAATCCATCAGATTATCACCTACTCTCCTCTCCTTTAGGCGCACCCTGAAAACCCATCTCTTCAGGGAAGCCTACCCCACCCCCTGCTAACTTGCCGACCTCCTCCACTCTTCCTACCACTCCATCCCCCACAGCTATCTCCTCCTGTGCCACCATCCCCTCCCTCCTAGATTGTAAGCTCCAAAGAGCAGGGCCCTCGATCCCCTCATGTTTTGCATTGTATTGGTATTGTTCTGTCACATGTTCTGTCCCCCTTTGTAATGTACAGCGCTGAGCGAACTATTGGCGCTTTATAAACACTGTATATTAATAATAATAGAACAGAAGGTATTCACGTCTCATTCCATCACATCCCAAACATTAGCGCATTACTCCTCATTCCAGGATAGAGGGCAGAGCCAAGCAAATTATTCCTTTACACACCATTAGCTAGATGCACATCCAGAATGGCTGGTGTACAGTGCATATAAGGCCTAATATTGCTGAGCCATTTATCCCACACAGCATACAATTGTTTCAGGCTTGTTGGCCATCATCAGTGCAGTGTATTGGAACCATGGCTTCTATAGAGTAAGGCTTGGGGCACATCCATACATTATACCCAAGCAGGTGATGGTGTGACGGGACTACATGTAATCAACAAGCCCTCCATCTGAATAGTTATCCTAGCTCTAGAAAGTGTCCTGTAATAAGGAGTTACCTTTGTGGGTCGGAGTTTTTCTTTCTTCAACATGTACATAATTTCCTGGTCAAACTTGGAGGCCATAGTGACTAGGTGACTGTCAGCTTCCACCGCCGTGACACCGAGGCCGAGGCCAAAGGCTAAGACCCTCGACAGGTGGCCCTAATATGAAAAGTTAAAAAAAAAAATAGAAACATAGGACATTAATGGGGAAAAGCAGAGCAATGGTAACCAGGAACAATGAGACAGGTTTATTTATTAGAAACATTAAGCTCTGGTTCACAGCCAGGGCCCCAGGTCCTAGACCCCTGTATACGTCACCAGCCGGGGCCCCAGGTCCTAGACCCCTGTATACGTCACCAGCCGGGGCCCCAGATCCTAGACCACTGTATACGTCACCAGCCAGGGCCCCATGTCATAGACCCCTGTATAAGTCAACAGCCGGGGCCCCAGGTCCTAAACCCCTGTATACGTCACCAGCCAGGGCCCCAGATCCTAGACACCTGTATACGTCACCAGTCGGGGCCCGTAGGTCCTAGACCCCTGTATACGTCACCAGCTTGGGCCCCAGGTCCTAGACCCCTGTATATGTCACCAGCACGGGCCCCAGGTCCTAGACCCCTGTATATGTCACCAGCACGGGTCCCAGGTCCTAGACCCCTGTATACATCACCAGTCAGGGCCCCAGGTCGTAGGCCTCTGTATACATCACCAGCCGGGGCCCCAGTATACGTCACCAGCCGGGGCCCCAATTCCTAGACCCCTGTATATGTCAACAGCCAGGGCCCCAGGTCCCAGACCCCTGAATATGTCACCAGCCGGGGCCCCAGATCCTAGACCCCTGTATACATCACCAGGCAGGGCCCCAAGTCCTAGACCCCTGTATACATCACCAGCAGGCCCCAAGTCCTAGACCCCTGTATACATCACCAGGCGGGGCCCCAAGTTCTAGGCCCCTGTATACGTCACCAGCCGGGGCCCCAAGTCCTTGACCCCTGTATACGTCACCAGCCGGGGGCCCCAAGTCCTAGACTCCTGTATACCTCACTTGCCGGGGCCCCAGGTCCTAGGCCCCTGTATACGTCACCAGCCAGTCACAAGTCACCATTTCAGAAGACATGGCCGCAGGGAAACTGCATAGTGCAGTGTTGTTCCCAGTTCGAGGAAGTGCCATTGAGATTAATCCACCTGAGCGGCAATGCGTTTTTCTCTGCGGGTGGTTGCGGGAACAGGAACAGGCGCAGTCCCGCAGAGGCAACCACCAGCACAAGTGTGAACCTAGCCTAAAGTATATGAGGTGTGTCCACAATATAATGAGAATGAAGATGCTACACCCGAGAAAGGCTCTGTGAAGGGAAAAGCTAGCCAAGGTCATTGGGGTGGGGTGCCAGGTATACGTTCACTTATCAGTTGTATTCCAACCCTCTCAGAGTTGAGACATTCTTTTTTGTGACATATGTGAATATGTGTCCAGTTCTGGAGGCCTCACTCCAGGTCTTGGGGGGTACTTGTTTCAGATGAGTGCAAAATGAGCAAACAGTGTGGCCAGACAGTGGGGAAAACAAACAGAATTCTAGGACGCATCACTAGAGGGATCCCCTGTGGGCAAGGTGTGAACCAGCACCCAATCCAGGTAGTTTTTGGCTAGACAAACATTAACTTTGCGCAAGTGACCATATCTGGAGGGAACTTAACTTGGAAAGTCTCATACTGCAATGACTCCACACATCTATACAGTTATCGGGGGGGGTTACAATACCTGACCAGAGCCGACATCCACCACATGTTCACAGCTTGAAGAGTCACAAAGTTTTTTCACCAGCTGTAAATGAGAATAAATATTAGGACTGATAAAGAAGAACCTGTCTGATGCTGTGTAACCAGAGGAGGAAAGTGATAGGACTGCCTGGATGTGTTCAGGATGGATGGATTCTCAGAAGACAAGTAAATACTTTGCTGTACTAAAGGTACACTATATTGCCAAAAGTATTGGGACCCCTGTCTTTCCACGCACATTAAATATAATGGCATCCCAGTCTTAGTCTGTAGGGTTCAACATTGAGTTGGCCCCGCCCTTTGCAGCTATAGCAGCTTCAACTCTTCTGGGAAGGCCGTCTACAAGGTTTAGGAGGGTGTCTATGGGAAGGTTGGACCATTCTTCCAGAAGCACATTTGTCAGGTCAGGCACTGATGTCGGGGGAGGAGGCCTGGCTCACAGTCTCTGCTCTAATTCATCCCAAAGGTGTTCTATGGGGTTGAGGTCAGGACTCTGTGCAGGACAGTCAAGTTCCTCCACCCCAAACTGGCTCCTCCATGTCTTTATGGACCTTGCTTTGTGCACTGGTGGGCAGTCATGTTGGAACAGGAAGGGGCCATCCCCAAACTCTTTCCACAAAGTTTGGAGCGTGAAATTGTCCAAAATGTCTTGGTATGCTGATGCCTTAAGAGTTCCCTTCACTGGAACTAGGGGGCCAACACCAACCCCACACCATAATCCCCCCTCCACTCCACCAAACTTTACACTTGGCACAATGCAATCAGGCAAGTACCTTTCCCCTGGCAACCGCCAAACTCAGACACGTCCATCGGATTGCCAGACAGAGAACCATGATTGGTCACTCCAGAGAACACGTCTCCTCTGCTCTAGAGTCCAGTGGCGGTGTGCTTTACACCACGGCATCTGATGCTTTGCATTGCACTCGGTGATGTAAGGCTTGGATGCAGCTGCTCGGCCATGGAAACCCATTCCATGAAGCTCTCTACGCACTGTTGTGCTAATCTGAAGGCCACACCAAGTTTGGAGGTCTTTAGCTATTGACTCTGCAGACAGTTGGCGACTTCTGCGCACTGTGCGCTTCAGCATGCGCTGACCCCGCTCTGTCATGTGACGTGGCCTACCACGTGGTGGCTGAGTTGCTGTTGTTCCCAGTTGCTTCCACTTTGTTATAATCCCACTAACAGTTGAGCGTGGAATATTTAGTAGCCAGGAAATGTCACGGATGGACTTATTGCACAGGTGGCCACCTATCACGGGACCACGCTTGGAGTCACTGAGCTCCTGAGAGCGACCCATTCTTTCACCAATGTTTGTAGAAGCCGTCTGCATGCCTAGGGGCTTGAATGTATACACCTGTGTCCATGGAGGTGATTGGAACACCTGAATCACATGATTTGGAGGGCTGGCCCAATACTTTTGTCAATATAGTGTATATACAGGAACCATGTGATGTGATGCCTGCGCTAAAGGATCTAGTACTTCCTGTCCTAGGGTGACAACACTCTCTCAATATTTTATCTATGGAAGAGCTGCAGTAGCACAAGACATATGCAAGGACTACAGAACACCCCCTTCTCATTGCTTCAATATGGGGGGAGGTGTTCTGTAGATCACATCAGTGAACTCAGCAAGAATGATAACACTAGAATTCACTGCCAGGCCCCCTGGAGTTCTAGAAGGATCAAAAACATTTTTTTTTTTTTTTTTAAACCATTAGCCGCCCGGCCAATGGCCGTTTGGCGGCTTCAGATGTGCTTCTCCATTCCGGGTGCACGCCATTTGGCGTGCTCCCGCACATGCGCCGTTTGCGGCAATGCAGAGCGGCGCAGCAGCGGGATCTGTCACGGGCCGTGCACCTCGGACACGGCCGATGACAGATCCGAGTACCGGCTCCCGTTGTTGGTACCATGTGACCTGCTGTGACCAATCACAGCAGGTCACATGACAGTTGTATACAATGGATGGCTTCATTCATGATGCCATCCATTGTATACTAGTGCCTAGCTGTGAATGGTCACAGCTAATCACATGCACATGTCATGTGATTAGCTGTGACCAAATCACAGCTAAGCACAAAAAAAAAAAAAAAAGCTGAATGAATCGATTTCATTCAGGTAAATGCTTGCTTATAGCAAAGTAATTCTTTGCTATAAGCAAATTGTGTAAAAAAAAAAAAAAAAAATACTGATCACTTCCCCAAAGTAGTACAGTGTTACTATGGTAACATTGTACTACTTTGGTCATAGTAAAATATGGAAAAAAAAATCTTAAAAAAAAAATAAAAAAAAATTTAATAAAAAATTAAATATAATAAAAAAAAAAAAAAAATATATATATATATTTTTTTTTTTCCATACTGTCACCAGTCAGTGTCCCTGTTAACCACCAAGCCAGTTATATGATGACGCTGTACTGCACTGGTGACAGTATGTAAAAAAAAAAAAAATAGTGAAAATAATTTTTTTAATTTTTTCATTTTCCGAAAAATTATGACATAAAAATACAACTTCAAAAAACTCGCCATGCCTCTTATGAAGTACGTCGGACTGTCTACTCTGCAAAAAGGGGTCATTTGTGGGGATATGACTGTACTGTTCTGACATTCTTGGACCTCTAGAAATTAGATTGGCCGTCAGTACTTCAGGATTGATCAATATTCAGATCTATCCCATAGTTTGTGAACTCTATAACTTTCCTACAAACTAAATAATACATCCTAATTTGGGTTATTTTCACCAAAGACATGTAGCAGAATACATCTCGGCCTAAATTTATGAAGAACAATAATTTATTTGTAAACTTTTATAACAGAAACAAAGAAAAATGTGTTTTTTTTTTTTTTTCCAAATTTTTTGGTCTTTTTTTTGTTAATTTAGCAAAAAATAAAAACCCCCCAGTGGTGATTAAATACCACCAAAAGAAAGCTCTAGTTGTGTGAAGAAAATGATAAAATTTTAGTTTGGGTACAATGTTGTATGACCGCGCAATTGTCATTCAAAGTGTGAGAGCGCTGAAACGTGAAAAATGGCCTGGGCAGGAAGGTGTAAAATTGCCGGTATTGAAATGGTTAATTACTGAACAGATGCTTCGGATGATTTATTAACAGACCAAATAGGAGCAAATAAGAGAAGTTCATCCTTAGGGTTCACCTACACTTTAGGAGGTCTATTTATAAATGTTTTCACACAAGATGCACACAACTTTCACTCAAGATTCAAGCAATTTTCTAATTGAATTCAGTTGGACAAATGTGTGGTTCCTGGGTGGAAGTTGTATGGAAACATTTCTAAACTGACCCCTAAGTGTT